CAATCCACTCACCTCAGCCTCCCCAAGCGAGGGATTACAGGCTGAGCCACCGAGCCCGGCTTGGATAAAAGATTCTTAAGCAGCCGGGCATGGTAGCTCATGCCTGTATTCCTAGCACTTTGGGAGGCAGAGGTGAGAGGATTGCCTGATCCCATGGGTTCAAGACCATCCTGGGCAACTTAGTGAGACCTCGTCTCTACAATAAATAAAAAAATTGGCCAGGCATGATGGCACACGCCTATGGTTCCAGCTTCTTAGAAGGCTGAGGCAGAAGGATCACCTGAGTCCAGCAGGTTGAGGATGCGGCAGCCACGAGCATGCCACTGCACTCCAGTCTGAGTGAGAGTCTGACTCAAAAAAAATTCTTAAGCAGAGACCTGGGTGACCTCAGAAGGTCTGCCCAACTAGAGGCGAAGTCCCTGACACTTGCTCAAGAAGCACTAAAGCACATCTGAATCTGATCAAGCCTCTACATCTAACCAACCCCCTGCCTGCAGGAGCAGAGGAACACGTTATAGGACACCACAGGCATGCAGTCAGCCACATCCTGCCTGAGGGACAGAAGACTGGGCTTTTCCCAGCAAGTAGCATGGAGAAGGCACCGTAGGCAGGAATCATTAGAGATGAAAAAACACACGAGACACATCAACCAATTACAACACCTGGGCCTTTGGGGACCTGATTCGAACAAGCCACCTGTTAACTGCTGTTTGAGGACAGCTTGGAAACCATGTAAAATGACTAGAAATGAGATGACACTAAGAACTTACAATTCTTAGGGTGAGCAATTATATAGTGATACTATTTTTTAAAAGGAGTTCTCAGTCAGGCATGGCAGCTCATGCCTGTAATCCCAGCACTTAGGGAAGCCGAGGTGAGAGAATTGCTTGAGCCCAGGAGTTTAAGACCAGCCTGGGCAATAAAGTGAGACTTTGTCTCTATAAAATATTAAAAAATTAGCCAGGCACGGTGGCTCACGCCTATAATCCCAGCACTTTGGGAGGCAGAGGCGAGAGGCCTGCCTGAGCTCAGGGGTTCAAAACCAGCCTAGGCAACTTGGTGTGACCTCATGTCTATAATACATCAAAAAATAAGCCAGGCACGGTAACGTGCACCTGTAGTTCCAGCTACTTGAAAGGCTGAGGCAGAAGGACTGCCTGAGCCCAGCAAGTCAAGGCTGCGGAGGCCGTGAGCATGCCCCTGCACTCTACCCTGGGCAACAGAGTGAGACTCCAACTCAGAGAGAGAGAGAGAGAGAGAGATATCAGCTGGGTGTGGTGGCGCAAGCCTGTAGTCCCAGCTACTGGGGAGGCTGAGGTGGGAGGATTGCCTGAGCCCAGCAGACTGAGGCTGTGGTGAACTGTGATGGTGAGACTGCACTCCAGCAGCCTGGGCAACAGAGTGAGACTCCGACTCAGAAAAGAAAAAGAAGAAAAGAGCAAAGACAGAGGGGCCCAAGGAAGAGGCCCCAGTGAGTCAGGCCCAAAAATCACTCAGGAGGGGAGTGTCTGCATTCGGGGAGTGGGGCCAACCCTGGGGCCCCGGTGGCCAGGAGCACCCCAGGAATAGCCGTGGGACAGACGAGGAAGGAAGCCGAGGGGGAGACCCAGCGCCGCGCCCCACAGACCTGCTCCCGCTGCCGCCCGCCGGACTCCGCGGCCCCCTGCGGCCCC